GATGTAGACCAATAGACTGATTCTTATTCATAAATTGCAGGTGGGGTGAATCATCATTCTTTCTGTTGGTAGCTTGAGCCAGAATTCTCCTCGGTAGACATGTTCTCATCACCAAAACATTTTTTATTCATATATCAAAAATTATCTGGCTATTAAACTTTTCTATGGATATAATAATTAGCCTCACACAGAGATCACCTTTGGTTTGACCGTTTCCAATGCAATAATTACCCTTTTCATTGTTTATCTCTGAAAGTTTTAACTATCACCTTGCTCCGGGAGTTTACCAATTAAGCCTTGGTTTGGTGACACGAGTCTCCTTCTATTTCCCCTGAGGTCAGAAAGGCAATTTCAATTACTTTGCACATCACTAGAATTCTCAGTCAACTGTAGTTAGGCAGAAAAGACTTTTATAATAGTTTACTCTTCATGGAAAAGTTTAAAGGAGAGTCATTTATGCTTTGTTATAGGTATAGGGAAGTGATGGGCCATTAGAACTAAACATATTTACAGATGTTTAAATGTTTCTGTTTTGATTATGGTTACCAAACTGCCTTCTAGAGCTTGACAAATAACAGAAGTGAGTGAAAATAGATAGTTGTGAAAAGCAACGATGCTGACAGTGAGTTGAAGAATGTGTGCATTCGACTTCTGCTGCGCCTTCTAATCCATAGCTGCCAAGCAGGAACACATAGGTCAGGTGTGACCAAATATTAGGATTCATAGGAGAAACTAGATATGTGGATGGACTTGTGTGTAAGAACTCTCGATTTTTTAACATGGTCTAGTTTCACGGGGTTTCTTAAATACAAAATACACAGTCCCTTTCTCTTTGTCAGCCAGATCCAGCCTCTAAGATACTAGTCTATGTACTATGCTATGTGCTATGCATTAAGTCAAAAACTTTCTAGGTTTTTTTTATTCCTACTTCCAATCCATATCAAGGTTGACTCCTGGTTATAGTGAAACAAAAGTGAGAACTGGGACATTAAGGCAATGATTAGCTACAGTAAACAAAGAAATCATGATTTTATCATGAAAAAGAGACACAGTCAGACATTCAGGAGCAGCAGGGGGTTCTCTAAATTTTCTGCATTTTCTGATATATTTCACTTTCAATAATTAAAATTCTACTATCCTAAATTTTGAAGACCTTGTAAAGGCATGTAATTTTAATTGCTATAGATTAAATATTTGTGCCCATCCCCCAATTCAGATGCTGGATCCCTAATCCCCAGTGTGATGACATGTGGAGGTGGGGTCTTTGGAGGCAGTTAGTTCATCAGAGAGGCACCTGTATGAGTGAAAGGAATGCCTCTATAAGAAAATATAGAAGAGATGATCTTTCTCTCTGCCATGTGAGGGTACAGTAAAAGGCAGCTGTCTGCAAGCCAGGAAGAGAGCCTTCACCAGACACAGGATTTGCTGGCACCTTGATCTTGGACTCCCAGCCTTCAGAACTTGAGAAAGAAATATTTGTAGTTTAAGCCATTTGGTCTGTAGTATTTTGTTATGGAAGCCTGAACTAAAGCATTTATTTTATAATTCAAAAACTCAATCTTGGATTTTTTTTCCCCAAAATATAAGCTTTATGGCCATAAGCAGTGAAAGATCCACCAGCATAGAACCATGACACCCAGAAATTTGATTCTATTCTGTCAGGAATCCCATGGTTCCAAACCTAAGAAAGTTTGTTATTTCCTATAATTAGAAGTTTTCCTTATGTACATTTATTTCTCCACATGCTTCATTTCATATCTTGTTTTTGATACATGAATGTATCAGGGCAAAATACAGAATTGCTTATTTCAATACTTAGGTGATTATTGTTTAATTACCTCTAGCTTCAGAAGAATTGAGCCTCTGAATAATATACAGAGAAAGAAAGAAGAGAGAAATTAGCTGCAAGTTCTCCTTCATCTCGTGCATCACATTTTAAAAATTTCACCCCAGTGGGGCTAAAACTATGAATTTCATAGTAGCATTAACTAACTATTCCACAGTGTCTAAGGAAGCCAGGTCCTATGCCTTAGTAGGTAATTATGTTCAAGTCCAGAAGCAAAGAGGTAATTCTGCATTAGTGAGGCCCCAACCATAAGGAAAAGTAAGAAGGTAGGCAATATACTGAGTGCACAATAGGAATGAATGATCACAGAGTACTCATCTTCCAGGCTAGGGAGAAGAATATCACTAGGACATGAGAGCATTTTCTCACATTCCCTCAGATAACCAGTAGTCTAGCTTATCTCACCAGAAAATAATAGTACAGAGATTCTAATAAATTCTGTGTGTAGGGTTGTGTATTCCATTATATTTTGTGTCTAACTACTGTCATTCAATGTTTTTCATATAAAAATAAAACCCATGTTATTTGGTGTGACAGCAACTCATTCATGTTAATTATAACATAATATTTTGTTCCATTGTATACCACAACTTATTTTTACAAGATACTGTTAATTCATATTTATGTTGATTTCAGTTTGAGATATTAGTAATAATGTTGCTGAGAACATTAGGTACATGTTTATAGAGCATATATATATTTCTTTTTGTTATATACCTAAGAGTGGAACTGCTAGTCATAAGATAAGCAGATGTTTGCCTTTGACAAAGACTAACAGAGGTTTCCATATTGCTTGAACCAGTTTGCATCTATATTAGCATTGCTTAGCATTCCTTTTATTTGCTTGTTCTTGCAAAAATTTAGTATTACTGGTTCTTTTCCTTTTAGTCATTCTTGTGGTTGTGTCATGATACTCAGTATCTTTAATTTTCATTTTTCTGAGGACTAATGATGTCAATTACCTTTTCATGTCTATTGATCACTAAGATAACCTCTTTCGGTGAACTGCCTATTTAAGTCTATTTCCTACATACTATTATATCAGTTGTTTTTGTTATTGAACTATGACCAATTAAATTTTGAGCAAATTGAGGGCTAGATTCAGTCAAAAAGTTATGTTTGGCCATGTCAGTTTTCAGATATTAATCAGATACTCAGATGTGGAAGCCAAGAATGCAGTTGAGTGCATGCGTTTGGAGTTCAGGAAAGGAATAAGTTTGGAGATAGACATATGGAAGATCTGAGCCTATGAATGAACTTAAAGCCATGCAATTGAACAACAGTAATCAGAGTAAGGCTAAACCCCTAAGGTACTCCAACCTTTCAGAGTTTGGAGAAGGAGAAAATGCCAGAAGGGAGACTGTAAAGAAGTGTTTAATGCGTTAAGAAAGAAACCAGGAGTTTACCAGGTTTAAGATTTCAAATGGGAAGTATGATATTTCAAAACAGAAGGAACGATCAACTCTACCAAATAACATTGAGAGGTTTGGTAAAACAAACACAGATTAGTAAGATGAAAGTCGTTTGGTAACCTTGAAAAACAAGTGGTATCCATAGGGATAAAATCTCAATGGGAACAGGTTGATGAGAGAATAATGTGAAATAAAGGAAACAGCGGTTTGGATACTTCTTTTATGATAATTGCTATAGAGTAACCTGAAGAATTGTTAAGGATGAAATATTTCCTTTAAAGATGTGAGATATTGTAGACTAAATATGGGCTTGCACTTGATCCTGAGGTGAGGAAAACACTGAGGGTGCAGGAAAGATGAAATTACAGCTAGAAACTAGTCGTTGTGTAAACAACTCAAGAGGAAGAAATTGAATACACAAATGTAAGAGTTGGTAGACAAACAATTCATCGCAATGAAGCAACCACTCCACATGAAGTGGGGAGCCTCATGAAACGACCAGCAGGACCCACAGGCAGGGCCAGTACTTTCCTGCCAGTGCCATCCAGTTCCCCGGCCCAGCAGCATTATCTTGTTTTTGTGCTTCTGTAAAACGGCTTGCTTCTAGGAGAATGGAACTTACCCCTAAGATTCTATTGGTTCCCAAAGCTCACTCCTGATTGGTCCACTTGTTACACCTACTCTGCATATGATGTTGCAAAATGTTGCAAAATCTTGATTAGTAATCTATAAAAGCATGTGTAAAACTACAGGCGGGGTCCAGAGCTTGGAGTGTTAACTCCTCTGGGCCTGCCAGCGTAATAAACCTGAGTTCTCCAACCCTCTGGGTGTTGCTTGGTCTCTCTTGTCAGGATCCAGGTTGCTGTAACACTCTGCTGGAACACTATGCTGTACCACGTTGCCGTAACACAGACAGAGACAATGGATATCAGAGTTTCACATAAGTCTACTCTCTCGGGCACTGATGGCTCAAACCACATAGCACAGCTCTTTCTGATGGTGATACTGGCTCTTGCTACTCTGATGAAGTCAGTAAAGTGGAGCAACCGAGAACATATATTATGCACTGTGCAGTGCACAATTCACATTAAAACTTCAGTAAAACCCCTGAAGTTAACCATTTTATAGATGTGGGAGACTAACTTACAAAGAACCACTCAACTGCTTCTGTGTAGGTTGTGGAGCTGTGATTCAGATTTCACATTTGATGCTTTTTTTCCCCAAGGATGACCATAAAATTTAATATCCAATACTTCTGAGAGTGAAAGGCACAGGTGTAATAGTTTAGCTGAGATAATAAATATAAACCAAGACTTTTGAGAACATACACAGCATATGGTCACCCTATCTTTTTCTCCCATTTTTGATCTCCTTTATTGTTCAATTTGAACCATTGTATTCAATTTTAATTCTTCCACGATAATTCTTAACACAAATAATAACTTTAAGTCAACAGTAAATAGGTCAATTAGGTTTTAAAAATTATAATAAAGACAGGAAAACTTAAATATGCCTAAAGGATTAGTTTATTGAAATGACTGGTTTGGAAATAGATTCTCAAAGAAATAATAATAAGCACAATTACACAAATGATTTTATACATATTTTTGATAAGCTTATAGTATTTCCGACTCAAAATTGAACTTTATGGTATTAGTTGAATTAAAATTTTGAGTCAAATTCAAATTAAGATGAGTGCCATGTAAAGCATAAAATAAATAAAGGACTACAATTTCATCTTCTTCCATGGAGGTCATTTAAAAATCATTTTGGTAACATGATACAAAGATTGAAAAGGTGCCACATTTCCAGTCGCAGTCAATTCTGTGGAATAGAGAACAAACATAATATTAGTTATTTTATATGCTATAACTATAATCTCTCCCCATTTGTAATTTTGATGTGACTAATTTATAAGAGGAATTTTATCATGAATGCACCATGTTGTGCCTTATCTTGGAGGCATACAAAAGTCCCTCTAGGACCAAATATCAGCTCAGTTGGAATTGTTTTATTAAAAGATCTTATCTATCATGATCACAAAAGGATCTGTAGCTTAAGAATCTCAAAACTACATTCTACTCCCTTTTTAAGTCACATCTGGACTAATAAATTGTATTTTGACTCGTGAATGGAAAGACAACGTATACTTTCTAAATGAGACAAAAACAATTGAAGTTCTTAAAGCCTAAGTTAGAAATGTGAATGCAGTTGATTTTTAAAATAAGCTCTGAAATATTTACATAAAAGTAGAAGAAATCATTTTCAGTTTTTCCTAAAAGTAATGATAATCAAGCATAAGGGTATAGACATTTGAAAGAAAAACAAATCTAATATGCCAATAGCACATGAACAAAATTTTGAATTATTTGAAATACGAGAGATATATAATTTCAGGTCAGTAAACAAGAGTCAACCATTGAGAATAAATTGATAATTAATAATTAAATTGGTAAACTAATGATATTTGGGACTATTTTGGGCTTATCCAGGAGAATGAAATGTAAAAATATGTTAACTGTAAATATGATTAGTCTAATTTCCAAACTCCTAAAGCTTACCAAAAGTGAGGAGGAGGTATTAACTTTGAAATCTTCTTAGGCCTTAAAAATTAAAAAATGAACAAATAAATATACAATTCATTTTTGACAAGAAAACTTTCCCTAAGAAGTCCATGAATATTGAAATAAGCAATTCAATATTTTGCCCTCATATATTCATGTATCAAAAACAAGATGTGAAATGAAGCATGTGGAGAAATAAATGTGCAGAAAGAAAACTTCCAAATTATAGAAAATAGCAAACTTTCTTAGGTTTGTTATTCCAAGCCAAATGAGATTATCGAATTTAATTCTGGCTTTAGTAAACATTAATCCTCTTTATCTAAATTCTCCACAGACCAACTAAATCATAATCCCTGAAATTATTTCTGCTCATTACTCAGTTTCTTCTATATAGAAAATTAGAACAATTATATCAGAATCTCCGTGGGTAAACCTAGACATTGGGAATTTGGAAATAAAAAATGTTTTCCAGGTTATTCTGTTTGTAGCTAATGTTGAGAATCACTGATCTGAACTATGTGTGTTTTGGAATCATCCATTTCTCATTTTTTTCTTTCATTCTAGAGCCCTCACTTAGTTATTCTAACATCATATACACACCATGAGTGAAACAGCACAGTTAGTAAATCTGCACTTACAATCACAGGGACGAGTGGTTGAGGCACAGGGTGGAGCCCCCGGACGGGGTCAGGTATAGGCTCCTGGAAGGGCAGAAGGGCTTGCACAGGCATGGCTCTCTGGGGGTAGGGCACCATTTGCTGGGGAACAGGCAGGACTTTGAACTGAGAAAGGGACAGCAGGGACTGAGGAGGAATCATGGGGGTCTGAGGAACAGGCTGGGGAATCTGGTGCATCAAAGACTGGAGCAGAGGCAGAGGAAGGTGCAGATTTTCGAGATCAGTGAGAGTCAGGCTCTGGCTTTCAGTAAAGGGCACTAGTGGAGACTGAAGCAAGGGCATTTCTTTGCGCTTAGGAATGACGATCTCCTTAGTTTTGGGGACATCCATTACTTTAGGCTGAAGAAAAGGTACCATCACAGCAGGCTGAAGAGGAGGCAGAAAGTTTTGTGGAAGGATAGGGTAAGGAATGGGCTCAGTGTGAGAATAGACTAGAGACTGGGGCTGGGGAAAGGTGTAGATTTTATCCTGCTGTTCATCCTGGAAGAAGGAAAAGAATATTTTGAGTCTGTAATTCAGCGCTGATTGTCATTCATGATGAATTAACCTCCTCTCTTTTGAACAATCATAATTGAGTGAAAAGAGAAAAAGAGAATCTTTCACTTATTGTAGTTAAGAAATTGTGGGGGATCATGTGAAGACTAGGGGGTAAAATGCTCACTGAGAGATTTCTTATTAATCTGCTTCCTTCACAGGTGAATCCACGAATCAAAGTGGAATTAATGTTCAGAGATCTCAACACTTGTTTTACTTTTTCCTGTGCTGCCTTTATAGCTGTAGCTGCATATTTAGAGTGCACAGACTTTTCAACAACGTGTTGATAATAGATCATAGATCATATTTTTTTCATATAATGAAGATCTATTTTCTATAGATGAAATAAAACAATGTTGGGTAATATTTCAAAATAACCCAATAGTGGAGGGCAAAAAGGACTTGGAGCATAAATAAAACTCTATTGGCCATGTGAGAAAAAGACTTAGAGGGATAACGCCACGGTTTATTTTTGCTTGTTTGTTTTAATGAAAAGTAAATCTAATTTGCGGTTTAATTCAAGGAGTTACTTAACAATAGCAAACTTCTAGCACTATTTCCCTTGGTAGAAGGTGGTTATCTCGAGTCTTTCAAGAGGCATCTATTTGTAAGTTCACTTTGATTTAGAAAATATGTGGTGTAAGTATCAAACAATCCAACTTTATCAGTGAAACAAGAAAGCTTAACTATTACAATTAGATAAATGTTACAACAAGAGTGATTTAATTAGATAATGAATTTTATGTCATCCCCCAAATCCTTACTTTAAAGCAAGTGCTACTATTCAATAACTATGTGATAGTGTCACACAATTGTGTACTCAGTTCTGCACCTCACATCCCTCATCTGTGTAATGGAAATACTTTTAAGAACCTCACCCATTTATAAATGTGAGTAAAAGCTACAGAATGTTAATGTAACATCACTGAATATTTACTGTGGGTTATGAGTAGTCTCGATTTACAGATGATGAAATTGAGGCACAGAGAAACTTGGAGCCAAGGTTACATGGCTGATAAGTGATCAAATTAGGATTTGTACCACACTGCCTCCCTGGTCTCTTTCATCAGCATCTTCATCCTGAGAATCAGAGTATCTCAGTCCCCAGCCTGGAAATGTTTCTACTAATGTGCACTTACTGAAAACAAGTATATCATTAGTAAAGTGAATAAATCAATAGTTATTCTTAGGGATTAATTCTATACTCTGGAAATTGATTATATGTTTAAAATGTGTTTATGTCTTTAAAAATATTTTTACTTTGTCAAAGTTTAATTTCCTATACTGACATTTATTTTATTACTATTCTTTAGACTGAACATATAATTATAAATATGTTCCCATGTATTATATTTCATATTAATTTTTAAAGTATACTTATCATGAACAAATTACCTCTGTTTGCTGCTGTTCCTCAATTTTAAACTTCTCAATTTTCTGCTAAAAAGTAAAAATCACACATAAAGAATTATTATTTGTAAAAATTGAACACAGGAAATTCTGAAAACATGCACATTTAAACATGAAGGTTTTACCTTGTTGATGTGTGTAATAGATTCCTTCAAAAAAAAATAAAATCAGGTTTAGTTTTAATGATCAATTATTATTTGTCAATATAAATCAGAAAATGAAGACATTTCTAGGTTAATGTGGACACCTTGTTTAATAATATTATTTTAATTGTTAAAACTTTGTTACACTATTCTGAATAAGTCTGTTTTATAAGAGGACAGACAATGCAATTTCATAAAGAAAATTAGTGAACATAGTATAAAAAGGCATTTAACAGATGCTAATTTCTCTCTGTCACCCTGCTCCCTTCTTATGACAACAAAAGGGCTCTAACCCTTCGGATTCTAAAAGAATAATAGTCATTGAAAATTCATTATAATAACCTTTGACATATTTGTTCCCTTGTTATGTTTAGGCTTCAAATGAAGTATAAGACACAAATATTCTCCCGTAAGGATCTTATAACCTTTGTGAAGAGGCAGAGTATATTGATGTACCGTTTAACTTGCAGATGATGACAGATCCCAAAAGAGTGATGCAATGATTAATATCTACCTGAGTCTCGCAAGCAGATTTAGGACTACACTAAGTCCCACAGCCTCTTATTTCCTAGATCACTATCATAATTACAAAATGTCCGTATTTGCATGTCTTCCCAGTCACAGCATTGTGAGTTCTATGCTTCCCTCTTTCCAGTTTGTACCATAGCTCTTACTCTCATACAGAAAGTGCTCAGTAAGCGTCAAAACAGTGAATGAGGTTAACGTAGAGTTCAAGATAGAAACTAGGACTCTACAGTTCATTAAAAAAGGGGCCATGTGACACAATTTCAAGTAGGAAGTCAATTTAAAACCTGCTACAATACTAAATCCTACAGACGTTTATTCTGTCTTTAAATGTATACAATGGAAATTTACATTAGAATTTACAGGTCAGAACATAGCTACATTGGCTTAACTGCCCTACTGTTAACACAAAAAGAAAGATAGTAGAGTATTTTACTGTTCTACATTTGGGTAATTGCCTTTAAATGAACACTGTCTTACCTCACTGCTTGAAATGCTTTCCACAGCCTATAAAGAAAAAAAAAAAATCAACACCCAGCTGAGTCTTCTCCTAGATCATCAGAAAGTGTTATTATTTTATGGTTGGAAAATTTTCTCTGAATAAAAATGCCTTACCTCACCCGCTGTCTTGAATTCTTCCTTCTGTAGAGAAAAAAACACCATTTTACTTTTTATAACTAACTCATTTTTAAACATGTTTTCTACCTAATTTTTATCTTCCTTATGCAGAGGTAGCTAATTCACAATTCGAGAAATAAAAAGTGGTTAAAGGTCATTTGAGAGTCTTGAAGTGTAATTGTTTCCTATGTCTTTTATACTTAGTAACTTTTTTATTGATATAGTTTTATTTTACCTGAATGAAGAGTTTTTGATGGGTAACAGAATAGGAGTTATTTTAGTTATTTTAACTTGTATTAAAACTTTTTATTATGATTATGAATGTTTCTGATTATTGCCTGAAACTCCATCCTCTGTAGTATCATCCTCTGTGGAATAGACATAGGTGGGGTTTGGCCCAGTGCCCTAGGGTAAAAGATGCATGTATCTCATCTCTGAAATTAGAAATATTTCTCTAGATAGCACATGCATGCCATTGTATTTGTGCAATATTACTCTTTTTTGTTGTTCTTATGTGTGTTTCTGCTTTTTTCTTCTTGCTTATTGATTTGTTTGCTTTTCCTGTAGGGACTGGTGGCAGAGTAACATGCAAAGTATCTGACTCGAATTTGTGATCCTGTAAGATACTGTTGAGAGAGTGGGTGAATGTAAATGATTATCTTAGAAGTAAAAAAAAACCTGAAATTCTGCATTATTTATACCTTTAGCATGTTGGTAATACTATTGTCTACACATAGGCAGATGGCACCATATATGACTTATTTAGAGACATTTTGTGTGTACTTACCTCTCTTGCAAGAGCAAGAGCCACCAGGCAGGCAAGGATGAGGACCTTCATGACTATCAAGTCCTATGGATGGAGAAATGAGGAGATGGTGATATACTGGTCAATCTAATGTATTTTCTTATTTCTGTAGGATTAATTTCCTTTAAAATAAACCAAAGATAGTGTATAATAAAAATGTCTGTATTTTAGGAAAAAATACTAATAGAAGCTTTGTCATTTGACCAAGGTCAAAATCAAGTGACTCTCTACTCTTACATATCAAATTCATATTTCATTGTCAGCCAGATTTTTTTCAGCTAACAGCCCTATCCTACTTTACCCTTTCATCTCATTCACAGTACTTATGAGAGTTTTTTTGAAAGGCAGGAAAAAGTTACAAATATTCACACAAAGAGTAATTAATTGATTTACTTATTCAAAAATATTTATTTAGCAGACATTGCTTAAATGCTGCGATTACAGCAGTGAACAAAATATTAAGGTCTCAGCTTTGTTGGAGCCTCAATTCTATTGAGAGGAGACTAGTCAAAGAAAATCCTGTATTTTTATCTTTTCTTTACTAAACAGTTTCCACAAATGTTTGGTTTATTCATATGTCCTTATTTCCAATTAGACTGGGATTTTCATTTTAGCATTTCCTTTATTTGCCCCACTCATCCAGATCTTTCCTTGGCCTGACTGGATTGTTTCTTCTCCGTGTGTATCCACCGCACAGTCTTCCTTCCCACACACCTAATGACATCTCCTTTGTGCCACGTAATTTTGGAGATCATACTCTCTGGAAACCTCTGTGTACTTGTATCCTAATGATTAACCAAGGGGTCTGGGTCCCTTGCCCAGTCCCCACTCTCGGCTCCTTCTCCTTGTAGCATAATGTAAAGTTTGTGAACACCTTTGACCGAGGTGTTGAAAATGGTTGATTTTGTCACATTTCTGTAAGGACTTATAAAAAATAATGTTTGCCCCACCAATATCCCTTGACACACAATCTTCAATTCCAGATTTTCAAATTAAATTAAGAAAAATTTGCTATGTTTTTCTCCTGGGTACTACCTAATTTTTTCTTTATTTTACTTTCCCTAAGACTTCCATGAGTTTCCAAATAACTTTTTATCGTCAAGACTCACGAAAGCTAATGTGGAACTCTATTAGAGATCACTATCAGTGGAAAGACTACTATATTTTCTTTATTTTATAATTAGCACTTTATATACAATTTTTAAGCCAGAATTTTATTTTTAACTAAGATATTTTAAGCTGTCCTTTCTTTCAAATTATATTTTTCTTCTTTTCTGTTCCTAGGTCATCTCTGCCCCTCCTGAATTTTTTTTTTTTTTACAAAATAAACATCTTATTTCTCTTTAACTTATACCACATTTCATGTATCTATTTTATATTTTTGAAATATTGTAAATTAAATGATAAACTGAGGATTTGGATGTTCTACACAAGTGTGATAATACACACTTCTTCTAAAAATATTATTTATAAACATTTCAAGTAGTGCATGTCTCCAAACAACTCTCCCCATTTTTTGACTCGACATGCTACCTCTGTAGCTATTTGTTCAATAAAGCTTGCCCAGTAGTAATGATTCATTTCACCATACTATAAATTAAATGCATTTGCCTTTATGGCTGTGATATGTTTTATCAAATTAGAAGACACTTAATTCAAGAAATTGATCTTTTTATATAGCCTGTTAACTAATCTTGTACTAAAGAAAATAGCCATCACCTTTATTACATTTTGTTAGACTCATAAAGCTCATGCAGTCATTATAATTCTTATCAAACCTATACAGGCACTTCTATTTTTTTAACCTAAGTGTTGAAAATATTGTCAGCATTATCTTAAATAACCTTATTTTAAAGACTGCATTTTAAGCAGTTATGTTTTTTTGTGTGTCTCAACCTAGTTTGAAATAAAAATGAAGAGAGGATACATTGAATTTGTATCTGAAATTCTTACCTTTTTTCCCAAAGTGGAGGAAAAGAAGTGAAGGAGGATCTGAGTGGATAATGGTCTGCTTTTGTGACGATTTATATACAGTCTTTAATGGCATGCTAATTTTGTGGTTTGAGATAAAATCAATAGTGAGTTTGAATTTCCAGAATTCCACATGATTAGAAAATAATTTCTTCTTATTATCTGTCCCCAGAAATTCTGGGGAGCATTTTAACAAGGAAATAATTCACAATCTGATAAAAGAAATCTGTCCAGAAAATAAAACTGTCCAGTAACTACAGACATTGGCTGGGAGACAGTGACATTCTGGCCCAGTCTCCAAATTATTGTAGACACAATAAGGTCTCTGTAGTACCTGTTGGGTCTTCAAGATTTTACATGTGGAGAAATTCTACATAGGCACCAGAGATACATGGGCCACACAACGGCCACAATTTCATTCTCACCTGAATAGATATTAGTGTTTGATGCTGTAAGGGAGAAACTGACAAGATAACGCATCCATGATGATAGCTTAGACCTGAGGAAGGAAGAGAATTAATTATAGGCTAAAAAGAAAAGAAGAATAGGTTCTTGAATATGAGAAAGAAGTCACTACAACTAAATCAAGTAATGAATCTGGGCCACGAAGTGCAAGGATTAGGGAGTAGATGGAGATGAGAAAAAGGAAAGAGAAAGGGATCAGAGGATGATGGGCAAAGTGTGCTGTGATCCTAAGGGACATGAATTTTATTCTCTGGATGGTGGGGATTTGTTAAAGGATTTTCAGACAGAAAGTAATATTTATAGAACAAATAATACTGATACAAATTTATTAAAAATGGGACTGCTCAAGTTGGGAATCATACCTTTTACAGTGAGTCAATGTTTATCAGCTGATTTTCATGGAAGGACAAACAGTGGAGGAAGGAAAAATGAAAGTGCAGATGGGAGGAGGGTCTTGCCCAAGTATTACAATAGAGTCTGAGCCAGTCCTCAGAACACTTCTTAGGTACCCATTTACAAAGGCAGACTTCAAGTTTCTTTGCCCCTCTAGTGATTGATGTTCATAAATGTAATTGAGAGTTTGAGATTTGCAGATACTAACTACTATATATAAAATAGATAAACAACAAGTTTCTTCTGTATAGCACAGGGAACTATATTCAGTATCTTGTAGTAACCTATAAAGAAAAAGAATATGAAAACAAGTGTATATATATATGTATATATATACACACACACATATATATATATATGACTAAAACATGCTGTATACCAGAGATTAACACATTATAAACTGACTATACTTCAATTAAAAAAATGTAATTGGCTGATTATATGCGACACTATTTATTTTTACAACATTGTTGCTTCACTTCATTGCCTGTAATAGACATATTCAGAATTTAAGCACAAATAGATGCCTTTCTAAAGTATTCAAGTAGCGTATTGGCATAATTAATAATTTTTCTTCATAATATAGCTTGCATCCATATCATGCTAGTTGTTGAGGGAGAGGAACACTCCTGACTGTTATTACTTAGAAAACCCAAGTCAGTGTCTACTGTGTATTTGAATAATTCAGTTGATATTCATTCCAAGACTCTTCATATGGAGCCAGGAGGAAGCCATGAAGGGAAATGATGAAATGACCCCAGTGTCGTAGGTATAACTAGAAAAGTCTTAGCTGCTCAGTGTGCCTTTAGCTCTTGGTTGCCAAGGCCACAGGCAAAAAAGTGTAATTTCTAAGAAAAGGAATACAAAAGCAAGCATGATCTACCCACTCAACACTTCCTTTTTATTTTCTCAGCAAGATGTTGTACATATTGTGCAATAAATACATTTCTTTGTGACTCTCTGTCTCACCAATTTTGAATTACATTCATTGGTATAGTTAGGGACTTGATTGGGTCAGAAAAGTAGGTTAAAACCTTGATTAAGGAAATCACTAACAATACACTAGAGAAAGAGGCTTGTCCAAGGGAAAAAATGAAAAGCCAGAGATTTAAGATAACACCACGTGCTTATAGCTTCAGAACACAATGACCAGTAAGTGCAAGTGCCATGTGGGCAATCCAAGGTTTTGCAATGCATAACCTAAGAACTGCCAGTTTTATAAGACAAAATGAGAATTCCATTCATCGAAATTTTGTAAGAGAACTGTGGGAAAGAAGCAAGATAAAATCCAAGCAAGATGTAGTATTATTTGTTACAAACAGAATTTATTTAGTCAAAGCTGTTTCCCGTATTGTGTGATGGATCTGAAATATGCAGACATGAGATATGGGTAAAGCATAAAGCTAATAGTTGAAACCATGTGAATAACAACCTCAAGAAAGGGAACAATTAATAATAATAACTATTATTATTATTATTAAATAATAAGCTGGATAAAGAATACAATAAATGGACCAAAATGTTTAGAAAATAAAAACAAGAAGAGACTTTAGATATTATCTGTACGATGTTGTAAAGATATTTTAGAGACGTGGAAATGGAAGACCTGGGAATTTGCATCATTTTTTCAGGATACTGTAGCTTAGAGATAGAGTTGGTACTAAAAACCTCAGATTCCTAAATAATATGTGAGGCACTGTTTAATAACTTCCAAAATATGAGGGGGATGAGGAAGGAAAATGAAATAAACAGTGAGGATTTATATAATGATTCAGATTTAAGAACAATATAACATATAATTAGTTCTGACAAATTATTAGGTGGGGATAGTTAGTTTAGCATTTTTATATAGATGGAATATTTTAATTCTTTCCATGGGATTATTCAAATATAATAAAATAACATCTTCTTTATCTGAAATATAGCTATTAAGATTAACGTATAAAGTTAATCAAGGCTCAGAACATACAAAATAATGTTCACATCGTGAAAGCATAAGCCAGAATCCTGATTCCTAAGACACACTCTTAAACCTAATTACTCTTACTTCACACATAATCATAAAACTTCACTCAAGCTCAAGATGAATTTACTGAGTGCATGCTACATGCTCGCCAGTGCTTCTCAGTCTTTGTAATACGATATCTGGGGGAGGATAATTCTTTGCTGAGGGGGCTATCCTGTGTGTTGTAGGGTGTTATAGGAGCATTCCTAGCCTCTGCCTGCAAGATGCCAGGAGCACCAGCCACGCAGCTATTAGAACTAAAACTGTCTTGAGAAATGTCTCCTGGTGGAGTGAGGTGCAGTGCAAAGTCACTTCTGATTTAGAACCACTATGCTAGATGATACAAAAGATCACACAATGATACAAAGATGAAGATGGTGTGGGTCCTGCTTGTAATCAGATCGTAAATGTGGAAGGACACATGGTTACACTTTGTCATGTAAGTAATTTTATCCCTCTATAATTTCACCCTTCCTGCTCTCCTATACCATATCCTGTCTACTGGATAAACCCATTCTAATACCTGAAACAAAAAATTATTTGATTTCATCAGAACCTTGGACCTTTCAATGATCCTGTCAGTTCTTCAATGCTTCTAAACTCCTTATGTCTAAATGCCCTTCCTTTCCCACTTTGAAAAATCACTATCATCATTTTTATGTATATTCTCAAATCCCCTGCCTGTCTCTGATTTTACTGTCTTACCTAAATCATATCTCAGGTTAATCCAAATTCTGCCTTCTGCCCCTCTGAATGTAGCTGTGAAAAAATATTCATCTATGGCAATTGTTTTCACTATAGCCTGAAGTCCAGCAGTGACATTACACATTCACTCCAATTTTCCTAAACCATTATTTAATATTCAAAGCAATAATATTTCTACCTAGTTTTTCCATTGGTTTCCTGTCACTCCCAGATAAAAATCCAAAAGTCATGAAAATTATCTTAAAATACCTTACATCATCAGGCCCCTGCTGCCTCTTTGACCTCATGTTCTATGTAATCTCCGTCTACTTCCCGCCCTTGTCCTTCTGCCTGTTACTACTTGAGCACGTTAGGTGATCTGCCACCTAAGAGCTCCCCACTAGCCACTCCCTCAGTCTGGAATTCTTTCCCCAGAGACATGCATGGACCATTCCCCACTCTTCTCTTAATTCTCTACTTACCTCTTCTGGGAGGCTGTTTCTGCTTATGTTACCCAACACTCTTCTTGACACTTCCCACCCCACCTCCTTTACTTATTTTCTTCTTTGCATTTAATATAATGTAAATACTATACATTTTGCTTTTATCATGATTTTTTTGGCTGTCTCCAGTTGTTTGCATTTCTATAACCCTGTAAACTTATAAATCTGTACCCTTTAAAAGGATGTAAGTTTCACGAGGGGTATATCTCAAGAGCATAGAATAATACATCTAGTTAAAGTCAGTTTGGGTAGTTTATGTAATAAAATTAAATCATTTATTTAAATAATTTAAGTAACTGTTGACTGAGGAAAGGAATGAATTAGCATGTGATTGACTACAATACAGCATCAATGTAAACACTCTTTTAATGAACACACAAAATAAGCAATGACTAGACCTACCTGAAGCTTGAAGGATATTGTCACAGAAATGCTCAAATTTCAACTTTGTCTTGGAAAATACATAGGTGTTGGTTAGAGAATATGAAGAGAGGACATTGTCAGAAGGCATACAGGAAAGATGCGAAGACATGGAATTATGAAATGGAAGAGTTATAGATGGCGCATAAGCAGAGGCAAGAAGTAAAGCTGGAAATATTTCCAAAGAAAGATGTGGAATGGTCTTGGATGTTGTGTTAAGACCTTGGATATTATTCCATAGATAATATGAAGCCATAAAGATATTATTTGCAAGGTATACCTCTCCAGAAACTTTTCTGGGTTCCTGAAACTTGTTTTACATTTGCAGCCCTGCCACTTAGTATCTCTTTGAAACCTGTTAAAGACTTTATCTGTTTACGCTGAATTTTCACCTCTGTAAAATGAGAATAGTGTTGTTGGCCCTGTGAGAATTTTTGTGGAGATTAAATACGGTAATGTATGTTAATTAGGGACTGCAGGGCACACAAAATGCCAACAGGGGGAGCTATTCCTATCACCCTTCCACAAACAACAAATTTTCCTCTAAAGCGTTTGTCGTAGAACCAGCTTCTGCCTAAAACACTCCCCAAATGGGACCCTCTCCACTAAAAACCTACCTGAGTTTAGAACTTTGTTTCTGTTTAATTATAGTTTTAGAAATATAATTTAAATCCCAGTTTTAGAAAGTTCTACAGGTCTTCCTAATATTTGGCCAAAATGATTTACAGTAGCACATATTTGTAATATTAATTTTGCCAAACCATTTATTCATTTAATAATTATTCTCAGGCAATTCTAAACATCAATTGGTTTTTTAAAGATCCAGTGGCTTTCCCTCTGTACAAACTGAAGCTCTTAAGGAAAGGCTATGACTCTTGTGATTTCAGGAACTCTACAGTAGTAGGATCAAGTCTTCATACTAGGATCAAAGTAATAACAAGGATGCAGTGGGAGCATTTATTAAGCTGTCACTCACGACAGGCACTACCCAAAGTGCTTTACATAGTTCTGTCAGTAAGTGGCACTCAAACAGATTCAGCATCCTGCCAAGGGCGACAGATTTCAGTACATAGGATCATGGGAGTTTCACTTCAGTCTCTCTAACTCTGAAGACCACTTATGGGAAACAATATGGACAATTGATATACATATCTTGATAATTCAGCAATTGTCTTCTTTCCTTCTTACTGGCAAATATATTCTTACAGTTTAAAACCTTTTTGTCTCAATTCTGAATTTATTATATGATTTCTATATTCTAGTCCACTTTATGAGTGTAGTCACAATTTTAGTTAATTTTACGTAATGAACAGTTCTGTAGTTCGGTCTGTTTGGTATCAGTTGACCTAATCTGTCTTATAGATATTGTTTAATTGGGGGGGGACTATTGTTAATTTCTTTGAACTTATGGAATCACATTAAGAAAATCCCTTATTACTTTACACCCACTCTGGTAAGTCTACTTCTCCCAACACCCCAAAATAAAAGATAGCCGTATAAGAAAAGGAATCAAAGAAAATAGTTTTAACAAGTGAATTTAAAGAAATTTTGTAGGCCAGCAGTTGTATCACAAATATTAAGCATTTATTAGACAGTAACATAAACCAGTAGTAGAAA